GGCAAAGCTATGAGAGCCGAACCTCCTGCGTGGGAAGAGATAGCGATAGAAGATGCTGTAGAGCGGTGGTCGAAGTGCGTCAGCAGGCTCGAGCACACGAAAGCTCTGATTGCATGGATCACGAATTCGAGCATGCTGACTCACGAGAAACTTTCGCAGCGATATCCAATTTCGCAACCTGCCGAACGCTCATTGGTCTACTTGTCGCTCCAGGCACAGCGTCGCTCTTCTTCTCGTTCGGCTGGTCTGCCAGCTCAAAGACATGAGCTTGAGTCTTGAGAAGAGCAACAAGCATGGTACTGCGTTGGTCTGTTCCTTGGCGGAACGACTTGACCCGCACACCTTGCACAGCTTCGCCAAATTCTAGCTCAGCTACCTCTCTGCCCTTTCCCTCTGCGATGCCACGATCTGCATGGCTCACAGCAGTGCGCTCCGGAATAGGAATAGTATCAGCGCGCATGGACGCCGTTCGCCGTTCCCGTGCGGCGGCGGGCAATTCTGACCCGGTAATGCTCGTAGTGATGCTCCTGTCCATCTGGGCACCGGATGCAGCCTGCTCCAGCGACAAGTCATCCAAATGTCTCGCTAGGCCAGCTGCACTGCCTATCTCCGATGTCCTAGATGTAGCATCGCGCTGAACACGCTCTGCCTGTTGTGAAGTCTTGTTGACGTCCTCTTGAGTCGATTGCTCGCCCCGATATGACGCTCCGCCATCTGACGAGGCAGAGCGCGAGGAGCTTGACCCAGCGTCTTCACCGCTGTGAAACGCAAAGGGGTCGTCTAGACCGGCCGAACTTGCTGATATGCTGCGCGATTGTGAGTTGCCGTGCTGGCTCGAATCCATCCTAAAGCTTGCGGAATCACTAGAAAGCTTCCCCAAGGCCGCCGAGCCATCTGAAAATTTGGTTGAGGCTTCGTTCGACAGCTGATGGAGTTGGCTGGCCGACATGCCGCGCAGCTCGAGATCCGCGGGGTCTGTCGCCAGCTCCTGCGAGGATTCCCGCAGACTGAGGCCATCATCCTCCTCAGACTCATCCTCCACATCACCTATTAGCTCATGCGCCGAGAGGTTGCCATGCAGTAAAGAAGACAGTGTCCCACTGCGCTGCCTACCTTTTGAGTCTCGAGATGAGCTCGCAATAGACGATGCGTCATCTTCGTGAGCTTCAGATGCCGCAGATGAGAGATGCAGGTCAGGATGACCAGACTCGCGCGCCCATGCTGCCACTCTTCGTCGCGCTTCCATCCCTTTGAGGTCCAAGGCGCGAGACGATGCGGACACAGTGGGAGTCCCTGAGATAGCTGGCACTTGGCTACTTGATTGCCTGCGATAGATTTGACCGGGCGCTTGCGCTGAGCCAGCATCGAAGACTGTGGAAGCTTGATCTTCGTCGGGCGGTCCCGCTGATGTTGAGGAGCTAGCCACGGCAATGGACGACCCTGCGGCTTCATCCCACAGCACGACCTTGTTGGGCGCGAAGAAGGGCACCCTCCCTCCTCCTACAAGCACGAGCAAAGAGCTGGAGTCAACAGCGCAAGCGAAGGACAAGCCACCTTGAGAGGGGGAGAAATCTGCTAGTCCGAGGTGAGGTCATCCGAGTAATGGATATTTGCATGCGATTCTGGGTCCGACTCACTTCGCCTAGCCACGATCTTGAGAGGAGCAGCTCTGAGAATGATGAATCCATCGTCGGTAGCGCATACATACAGGTTGCTTGCCGACCGGCTGTCCCTTGCGCCCATCACCTCGTGCACTTGAAGATGCGAATCCGGCCTTGTTGCAGCCTCATCGCTGACATCACCTCGCAAAGAAGTGCATGAAGCCCAGGTGAACAAGGGAGCCGAGACGTGGGAAGAGAGCGTGTGTCGAGGAAGGGGCATCATGTTGGAAGCGAGTGGACGATGGCTTTAGCTGCGACAGGGCCAAGCGATGGAAGAGCCATGTGGGGCGCTCGCGCCGCGCGAGCAAGACCGTCAAGCTGAGCGCGGCTCTGGCCAGAAGGAGCTGGCCCAAGGGCAAGGGCACGCTTAGCAACACTCTCTGATGCAAGCAAAGATCGAGGGATGGGAGTTGTGACTCTTGGTGGTCCGTGTAATAATGTGTGTGCACTTCACGTCACTTGGCGAGATGCCGCGCGCATGCACACATCACACGAGCGAATTTGAGTGTTTGAGTGAATCGTGAATCTCGCATGGCTGCACAACAATCACGAATCACGTGTCACGTGAATGCCCGATCAACCTGCTGCTTCATGTGGTGTACAACTCACACTCTGACTGCCAACACTCCAACTTGAACTGTTCGAGTACACGTTGGCGATTCACATACACGTAGCGATTGCCAGTAGGGACACCGCACCCATGGGCACTCAAGGTGCAAGACTTGGCGCCGTCATGTCAGAGATGTAGCTGCTGGCTTCACGACGGCAGGCGATGCATACGGTCATCAAGACTTTTCGCCTCAACGCACTGATGGCACACGCGACCAAAGGTGCAATCAAGAAATACTTTAACAGTCAAGAGTAGCAGCAGTC